CATTTTGTACAGCCTAGATTTGCAAGGAATACAAGCCTTGGTGGTATGTTTATTTGCTGAGGTGTGTAAAGCATTAATGGATTGTTCCAACAGAACAAAAATACAAACACATATTTACCTTCTTAAACCTACACATCATACTCGTCTATCCTCGTGTTTCAGCTAAAAAGAACAGATGTGAGGAGGGAAAAAAAAGGAGTCTGATACATGTTTTTAATGAAACTTGACTTAAATTTAAGATCTAGTAAAGAGAATTTGTACTAGAGTCAAGATGCAAAGAGGGAATTCAACCAAACAGCTGTCCTGAAGTATCAGACATTCTCCCTGGTACCTTCTGACAGATAATATCTTCCAAGAAAAAAGAAAATAACCACTCTGCCAAGAATTCCTCCTACTCCTGCTCTTATCTTTATTTTTAACTTCAGGGTTAACTTTGAAAGTTAACTTTTGAACATCTCTCCTACATCAGATGGAGTGAAAGCAAATGGACCCTCCACAACTGACTGGGGTTAACCTAGGAGGTGTGCAGCCTGGAGTTCTCACACCCTAACCAGGCAGAGTATGGCAACAGACAAACTCTTGGTCCATCAGTGCTCACAAACTCACTTGACATTTAACAGGAACTTGTCCTATTTTATAACTGTGTTTGGCTAAGGACTGACAAGTGTTCAGCTAGAAGTTCCCCAGAGCTCCAGCTGGCTAACCAACAGAACTCACCAAGTCACAACAACTCAGCTGATTTCAGTGGTAAGAACAGATGCTTCAGGCAAAACAGTTCAACTGACAGTTAAAGTGCTTTAAGTGTGTCACACTGAGACAAGACAACCAACACAAATAGGGCTCATTGCTTTAGAAATTACTGGTTAAACTGGTGTATCCTTCCAATACAGATAAGCTCTGCAAAACAACCAGAGACAACCACAAAAGCAGCTATGCAGTTGCCATCCTTCTTCCTAAGGCTATTCCTACCACAAGGAGTACTTGGAAAAAATTGACATCTGTAATATGCCAAATGAAATTATGACACAAAGGAGCTTTGTTTGCTGGTCCCTCCTCCCCAGTCAAAAAGTTGAAGTGCATTAGGTGTTTCAGAAAGGAATCCATGAAATTCTGCAGCAGAGCAGTAACAACCAGCACACAACTCCACCTGTGTTCTGCCTTCCTCACCAAGATCCCTTCAAACTCTCTCCAAGAGCCAAATCACTACTGCCTTACAAAACTTCTCTGAACACGGTTCTGAGTTTCATGTACAACTCCACAGTCACAAGCAACATTAAATACTTGCAAAACTCATGGGTTTAAATATAAACACAACCCTTGCCACACAGACTAAATCTGAGAGTGTGAAATATTTTAGGTAACAGTGGAATAGTCAAAAAAAAAACAACAAAAAACAACACTAATCGGGGGGGTGGGGGGGGGGAAATGAAGTATTTAAAACAATTCCTACCAGAATGGAAGATACAGACTTTTCTAAGGCACAGGACAACTGACCCTTGGTATTTTGTAACTCACAAAATACCACACAGAATTCCAACTGCTTCATTTCAGGAGGGGAAAAAAGCATGTAAGGAACTGAAGTATCAGGAAATACTGAGGCATCTAACTCTTTTCAAAAGGAAACATGCTTGTCGTACTCTTCACACAACAAAAATAAACTGGTTTATTGGCTCAGAGAAGCCAAACACAGGATATCCTAAAAATATTTACACCTGATCAAGTTATTAAATAAAGCAGCTCCACAAATTAGCTTTTTGATTACAACCACCATGAAGTGACTCTGTGGAACATTAAGGAACAGCATGAGACACACTAGCAGAGGCAGAGTTTCAAATGAAGTGTTTGACTCTAAAAATAGTTGCGTGTTTCAAGTGTTGAACCTGCCTGTGTGCTGGGGCACAAGGTATCTCCTTCTGGGAACTTACAGCACAAAAGTTAACTCACAAGGTCAATAACTGAAGAAAACTCTGCTCTCACATGTCTCTGCTCCTTAACAGCACTGGGAGAACTCTCCACAATTTCCTTAGGAAAGCACTAAAACACAAAACAAAATTGGTATTTGAATGTTTTTGACTACAAAAATACTTTGAGGAAGGCTGTAAACATTTACAACACAGGAGCTGTATTAATACAACATTATTACTTTCAAGGTCAGTATTACACACGCAGCTCCTCAGAGCTACATATTTTGGTGTTATTTTTAACATCTGACAGAGCATCTTGTACTGCTGAGAGCTCTACACTGTTTACAAATACTCCCAAGCTGCAGCTGCTGATTCTAGGAGCATATCTTGCCATAGCAAAAACAAGAGTCATTTTAATTCTCCAGCAATTACATTTTTTTACAGTACTATATGCACAAGTGCCTGTAGATTGGCTGTAGTTTTTCCACCTTTAAGCATGGAACAACATGATTTGGTTACAAGGATATCCATTACTACAAAAGGTCAGAAAAGTCCAAGCACACTTGGGAAACACTTCTAACCCTGTTCAGATTATGGATGAACTCCACAGCCTCTCTCAGCAGGTGCTATTTCAGGCACTTCTACATTTGGCTTACTTCTGAAAATTGAAAAGCACAGCTAAAAAAAAAATGCTGGTTTGAAATGAAATGCCAAGTTTCTGCTTTAATTCTTCACTCTCCTAAAATACTTAACTACAGGCATAATACAGAATCATAGTATGTTAAGGGGTTGGAAAGGAGCTCAGAGCTCATCCAGCCCCAACCCCTGCCCTGAGCAGGGACCCCTCCCACCAGAGCAGGTTGCTCAAGGCTTTAGCCAACCTGGCTGTGAACACTGCCAGGGTTGGGGCAGCCACAGCCTCCCTGGGCAACCTGGGCCACTGTCTCACCACCCTCACAGGGAAAACTTCTGCCTAATATCTAACCTAAATTTCTCCTCTTCCAATTTCTCCCCATTACTCCTTGTCCTGTCACTGCAGTTCCTAACCAAGAGTCCCTCTGCAGCTTCCCTGGAGCCTCTTCAGCTCCTGGCAGGTTGCTCTGAGGTCCCCACAACCACCAAAGGGAACAGCAAACAACTTACCCACACAAGCATTTAGGAACAGCCAGTCAGTCTTTTTCATTCTGTTTCTTATTTGCTTTAGTTTTTTGAAGTCAACTTCAAGCTCCTCCTTGCTGCCAACAGCTCCAGCCAATTCAATTCTTTGGAAGTCCATTTTCACCTCGGATTCACGTTTGGTTGTAGGTGGAGATCTTCTTTGGCTATTACCACTGCTACAGCTTCCCCTCCATCGAGCTCTGTCCTGCTCATTTATGATGGAAGAAGCCTCTTCCGTGTCTGCCAGTTCTATTGCTTCAATGTTGTTGGGCCTTGGGTGATCACACACCACACATTTCCTGGCCTTGGCCCAGTTTTCATATGTACAAACAGAACAAGTCCAGTGCTGAGCCCTTGTGTTCAGTTTATTCCTGTCATTGTACTCCTCACACGGATCCACGGAGAAAGGGACAGGTCTGGAGCCAGAGCCTGAGGACTGAGGAGACTCCGTGGGGCTCCTGGTCCTGCGCTGGGACAAGCACTGAGTACACCTGATCGCTCTTGGCCAGTTCAAGTATGTGCACATGTGGCACGACCACTTATTTGCACTTTCCATGCTGTAAGAGGATTTAACCCTTGGTCTTGCACTGGAATCAGGACAAATCAAAGGACTACTCCCTCCCTCTGTGCTGGTGGGATCCCAGTCTCTGCCGATATCGCTCTGCCCACTTTTGAAGGGATCCTCCGTGATGATGGTCCCGCTGGGCCTCTGGGCACGGCACATGGTGCATTTGATTGCAGAGGGCCAGTTCTCATAGGTGCAATACTCACAAGCCCATTTAATGCCACGTTCTGTCATCGTGCACTCCTTGCAACGAGCTGCGTCGGGCACAAAGCTGAGGAGCCAGAACACACCGTTAGGACACAATGACTGCACAGGAGCTGCTTGGAATAGAAAATAAAGGAGGTGTAACCCAGCTGACGTTAAAATCAGGCTGGGCAAATGGACCATTTAGCCTTCTTGATACTATTATAACATTTATGGGAAGTAAAATCACTATGAAAAGTGTGAGACTTGAGCTAACAGCATTTTACATGGAGAATTTGGGATTTGCTAGTGTAGAAATGAGAGGGGAAAAAACCCTGAGCCCTGCATTTCTGCAACTCCTCAAACTTGCACAGAAGCTTCCAAATTCAGAAAACAGATATGCATTAAGAACACTGGAGAAGAGACCAGAATGGCTACAGGAACAAGTCATAAATATTAAATTATTGAAATAAAACTCAATGTGAATACAGAGGTACAAGAAAAGGAACACAAAGTCTGGATCCTGTGAGGCCTCGTAACAGAGCTCCCAGGATTTGGAAGGCAGGAGGGTATGAGGTGGGCAGATACACAGTGAGTAAGCAGTTCTTTGGGAAAAGGAGGGTGTAGGAGTTTACATAAAATGCTTTCATTTGAAAATTGCATGTATGTGCTCAACCAAGCCTAGGCCTTGCCTGGCCATCATTCCCACCAGGAGTGTTACAAAGTGAAAACACCACTTGAAAGCAAGCACAAGCTGTGTGCGTTGGCAAGCCAACACGGTATTTGCTTTCTACAAATTCAGATTTCAATCCAATTCCAACTCACTTTTTCTCTAATGAAGAGGGGATTCCGTCCTCATGCTGGCTCAGACCTTCTCCTCAGACTGCCAAATATGAAGGATGAGACTAAGCAGCTAACTATTCCTGTAAACAAAAGGAAAACAGACTCATTAGAGGTTTCCTACTGGACCTGAGTAACCAGAAAGTTAATTATTAAATGCCACACCTATTCTGATCCCAATTTACTTGGTTAAACCCAGTCGTGACCTGCTGAGGCTAACAGAGACTGGTTAAAACAAACCAGTATTACAGAGCACCAGTAGCCACACAAGTGATCAATCAGCTGAAGTAAAAAAAGTAGATCCAAGCAACATCAAGTTCATGCCAAAACACCTATAAACACTCACTGCAACATGAAACTTGGGATGGGGAAGGCAGAAAAAGCTTAGTGCACAACAGAGGGAAAGGGTGAGGCAGGTAGATAAAGGACAAATAGACAAATATACACTGCATTTCCTCCCTCACCACAGAATCGTTACTCAATAGTGTGCTGGTTCTAGGCATGCAAAATTGATTAAAATACAAATTTGTCACATCAGTTGAATGACATTTTTCATATTGCAATTCTCTCAGCTAACAAAACCACCCAGAGCCTAGTAAACAAAACCTCACAAGTTACACAAGAGGATTAAACTCACAACTAGATACATCAAACCAAACATGAGTTGATACCTGTTCCCTGATTAGCAAATGTTTTACGAGTTGGCACATCCTTCACTGAAATACCTCCACACTCTACCAAGGCAGAGCTAAACGTCTACTTAGCTCACCCTGATTCCTACTCTCCCTTCTGAGCACTCCAGGCACACAGCACAGGTTTTTTCCAAGAGCTTGGCTCTGATGTATTCCCCAGATCAGGTGGCTGCATGAATGAGGGGCTATCGCATGGCTGGAGGGAGGAGAGGGCAGGAATATCCTTTTCAGCATGATCCATATTTATGCTGGATGAGAGCAGATGAGCAATCAGTAACACAGAAAGCTTTCTCATCCAGCTCAGGTTCTAACACTACTTGTTTGAACAGCCTGCAGAGCACTTCACTCCCACCTATATGTTATAAAACTGTGTCAGACTGAGGAATGTGCTGAGAAGGCAATTAGAATTCCTACTGTTTCCCCTCCACCATTCCTCATAGATGTCCATGCCCATCCATAATGAGAAAAAAAAAAGGAGTGTGATCATACTAAGGTCCCCATATCTGTAATAAAATCAGTGAAAAATACAAAGTCAACTTGATTTTCCTAATTCCTAAAGGTGATTTCATAAAGTAACTCCCCAGAAACTCGAAGAAAAAACAATTTCTCTACTCCATAAATAAATTAAAGCTTTGCCAAAACACCTCCTATAAGAGTATACTATATGCTAGGATTAGCTATTCCACTTGGTCAAGGCTTTTCCTCCCAATTCCCAAAACAATTACTTTCTTAATAAGTTTATTCTTTCCAGAAACAGTAGAGTTTTCTGAGGAATTAATGTTTCAGAGTTAGAAATATAAGAGCTGAATGCAGTTTTCAGAGAAGAGAAGGCAGCAGCACACTGCCCACTGCCACCAACACATGGTGTCACCAAGGACCACCAGAAAGTGGCTGCTCCCAATATTCCAATGCTTGGTAATAATTCCGGCCGAAGCAGAAGCTGGGTATAGTTTGAGTAGGTAATGCTTCCAATTCCAGTCAGATCCATACAACTGTGATGAAGCCCAAGAGGGATCTCTACTTGCAAATGCTCTCTCACCTGTGTAAGCTTTAAACAAACCAGTTCCCACCACAAACAAATCCCAACCCACATCTGGGAGAGAGCAAAAAACCAAGACATCATCTATTCTGGTGACATTAAGACTGGGAAAGGAGATTGCAGCTGAAGCTGGAAAGCAGCTGGCTGCAAAAGCAATCTAAACAAGGCCTGAGATACTCCTCAGGAAACTAAATAGCTCAGTATATGCCACATTAAAAGATCTTTCCCATATAGCACAAGATTAGGTTTTTAGCTGCAATTATGCTCTGTGCCCCTGAAAGAGGTAATGCTTTCAGACATCATTTTTAGAACGGCTGAGTATCTGCAGCTCGGAGAGCCTCTGAGATATGAGCTCACCACCTCCGAACACGAGGCCTCGGGTTATTACGAAGTAAAGAATATAAAAAGGCTCAATGGAGCAATGCAATTGCTGTTCCTTGACAGCTCTGCCAACACCCACTGTGCTGAGGGAGCTTAGTATTTGCACAGATTGGGGGTTTCTTTACTGTGAGATCTTGGACTGACCCCCAGCTGCACCCACGGACACCAGACCCATCTCATTTTCTTTTCATGAGGAACTGTGTGACAGGACCAGGGAGAATGGCTTCAAACTGACAGAAGGTAGGTTTAGGTGGGATACTGGGAAGAAATTCTTCCCTGTGAGGTGCTGAGGCTCTGGCACAGGTTGCCTAGAGCAGCTGTGGCTGCTCCATCCCTGGGAGTGTTCCAGGCCAGGCTGGATGGGGCTTGGAGCAACGTGGGCTGGTGGGAGGTGTCTCTGCCCAGTTATCCTCCAATTCACTGCTGATACAACATCACCATTCATCCTCCGATGCAGTTTGAAGCTTATTACATTTTTTCACCATTACTTCTTTGACTGTTTTAAAGTTAACTTGTTGTTTTGGATTTCTCACCGAGGAGAAGCTGAATCATGGAGCACCTCTCATGCAGAAATAGCACAAGAGTGACTGAGGTGCAGGACTTCATGTCCAAAAAGCATGAGAAGACAGGAAATTAAACCCCACAAAACTCTGAGTTCCAACTGATCAGTTTAGAGTGTGCTGAAGACCTTCTGGACAGACTAGCTGAGCAACTCAGTACACTGAAGAGACAAATATATTCTGTTCTGATAAATAATGAACACAGAAAACCCAAAAACTTATCAGACTTTTACTAAATAAGGTCAGTCAGAAATGGTCATCTAGAACGAGATTTTTCTCTTGCTTTAACTCTCGGGAACATTCTTGGTGCATGGGAAAATACAGAACAGCTCAGAGATACTGGGAATAAACACCATTTTTACGACAGGAGATTTTATACTCCCCTCAATTTCATTACTCAATGTGTCCAGTTGTTTTCCCTTTGGCTCAAATGAGGAACAGTATGGAGCTCCATTTCATTAAATGATGAAGTCCTTCCCTGTCACCAGGCCAGATGCTGATTTAGACCAGTCTACACCACAGATTTTTTTGTAGGGTGGTGCTGGCAGCTGTGCTGGTTGAAACCTTATGTAATTATATGGATCAAACCAGCATTCCCACCTTAACTCGTTCTGTCCATGAGCATGGATGGCTGAACCAAGCTAACTGCTCCTGTATTTCTAGGGAAAAGAGAGCTCAGGTGACAACTTCAGCCTTCAGCAAAGCTTGAAAGGCAAAAAAGGTCCACCTTCCTTCCCTCCATGTATTTGCCTCTCTTAGGCAGCTCCAAAGAGAAATGTAGGTAGGTTGATTCATTTTATAAACACTGAAGCAATTTTTCAGAGGAACAAAATAAGCAGAAACATCTTGTCCTGAAAGAGAGATCTCCATAACCAAATGCAGAATCCATTAGCTCAGCAATTCAGGAGTGTGGAATTAACACCTTTCTGTGCCTGATTTTCCAAGGTGGAATTTTACTGACTTGTTCTTAACTTACTAAACTTACTTTCTCTACCTTCAACACTTTGCTCTCTTGTATGACAGCTTTCTCAGTAAGCCAGGATAAGCCTCAAAAGATCAGTATATTAAAAACAGAACCTGAGCTCCTATAGTTTGAAGGGAACTAACAATTAGCTCCATTGTTGTCTCTGCAAATTAATTTTACACGAAATTAAGAACTGACCTTGTCCATGAGACAACCAGATCAGATCAGCAGTGGATCTGGAGGCTTTGCAGTAAGGGCAATATCTATGTGTTATTATCAAGGATAGAAAGACTAGTGCAAGTTACAAATGTAGGAGCATTTTCCATATTAGTCTGAGCGCACTGAAGTAGGAAATGAACAAGGAACCATAGTTTGCTTTGGTTGTCAGGATAAAAATGAAGGGATTCTGTCCCAGCCAGATCGGCACAAAGGAGAAACCACTCTGCCACCTCAGGAAAAGAGCACTGAAAGTGTGTTCCACGAGCTGCTGTAGGAGGTGGGGGTTTGCTCAGGGAATTTGATTTCTTTGAGCACACCAGCTGGCTCTGTGCAGTGCAGGCAGCAGGGACTGCCCTCAGACTGCAGCAATCACCACAGAAGGCACAAACCCCTTTGTACAAACACAGATACAGGCAAGAGCTCTGCTGGGAGACAGAGGCTTTTGTCAGACTGCATTATCCTCCTCAACCTCATCCCAGCAAGAGCTCTGCTCCAGAACTCACAAGGAGCACCTCCGAGTAGTTTCTCTGCTCCACTAACATGGATAACAGGGAGAATGTTGCAGTCTCAAGAGAAGCACCAGCGAGTTAACACTGGCACAAACATCAATTCTATTGAAGACCAAATCATTGCCATGTTCATCACAACATAAACTACAAACTAGAGCATCAATGGGGCATGAGAAAAGAAAAAATCCAAGATATTTTAGTTATAACTGAGTAACTATTTACAATCTTGTGTGTTAAATGAGTTTTAACATTTTTCTTCAGTTTTGGCAGTCTAAACCATCAAGAAATATTCCTTACTGCAGATTTTTAGGTATGACCTCCCTCATTAAAAATTAGTTGCCCTTACTCTTATAAGTAGCCAATTAGCTAAAATCCAGGAGAATTGATCTCTCACAAAGAAACACACTGCAAGTAATAGTTTCCTTAACCAAAAGAAGTCTGAGAAAGTAAGTATTAACTTCTGGAAACATTCAGAAGTCTGTTCACTGGGTGAATTCTGACAGGTTTTTTACACACAACTCAAAAACTGTTTTCATTTTGGTTTATGGATTTGTGTCTCATTTCAAAGCATCTTAAATCTACTTCATTAGGTATTTATGGCATTCAGGGAAATTATGCTGATTTGGCTGCAGCTTTTCCTTTCCGTATTCTCCTCACACTCCCAACCCAACTCCAAATAAACCTTACATCCTGACTTTTCACAGGAGAATTGATATGCAGTTC